CGCCGCCCTGCAGCGCCACCTGGTCGCGCAGCCCGCGCAGCGCCGCAGCCGCGCCGACGGCCGCGTCGCGCCAGCCGGCGTTCGCGCCGCGGTCGTCCAGCGCGAGCGCGCGCATAGCTGGATCAGCCGTCGCGCGCGCTGTCGCGACGCGGACGCCCCAAAAGTCTGCGACGTGCGCCGCGCCCATGGCCGCGACGACGCCGCCGACCGAGAGGCTGGCGTTGGCAGCGGCGCCGGTCGGCAGCGCCGCGGCGTCGAGCGCGGCGGATAGCATCGCATGCGTGCCCATCGCGCGCGCCTGCAGCCACCGCGGGTCGGTCAGCTGCGCGCCGGCCGCGGGCAGCGCCGCGGCGGCGAGCGCTGAGAGGGCCTGCGACGCCGCGAGGCCCGCGGGCACCACCGGCGGCGCGGTGGGCAGGTAGCCGTGCGGGCCCCCAAACTGGGCGCTGAACAGCCAGCGCAGCAGGTGGCGCATCTGCTCCCCTGTGTAGGCAAACAGCGCCTCGTAGGCCGGCCCGGCCTGGCCCGTCGCCTCGCCGATTGCGGCGGCTTCGCGCGAAAACCAGAGCATGTCGGCCACCAGCGCCCGCGACTGCAGCAGGGAATCGCCCGAGTAGGCCGCGCTGCTGTTGTACTTGGCAGCCAGGTCGGCCGCCACCGGCGGCAGCAGCTGCCCCGTGAGCGCCTTCAGCCCCGACGCCGCGAGCGCGGGCCGCGCGGCGGCGTCGGCAGTCATATACTCCGCAAACTGATCCCGCATCGCGCCAAACGCGCGTACGAGGGCAACAATTGCAAACTCGTATGACTCCTGGGCCTGACCGTCAGGGGCCGCGCCGACCCCGCCCTGCTTGCTGGCGGCGGCCTGCTGCTTGTAGCAGTCCAGGACCTTCATGCCCCAGTCCAGCAGGGACTGCGTTCGAAGGGAGGGTTGCTGCGTGAGAGGGGTACTCAGCCAGGGGGCGGACGACGGCAACGTAGGCAGCAGGGCGTACGCATGGCAATCGTCACCCTTGCCATGCGTGCAGGGCGCTCGCATGGCAAGGGATGGAGCGTCTGTATGGGCGCCAGGCGGCTTCGTGAGCGCAAGCATGCATGGCAATGACGCCCTGCATTGCCCTGATCTTGCATGCAGGCGGCGCGACCCCCAGGCCACACGCGCCCACGTCAGGACCCGCAGCGCCAGGCGCCACCGACACCTGCGCGCCCAAGCAATCAGAAGCCCTCGCCCCGCCGCCCCAAATCCCCC